TGTGTGTGTGTGTGTGTGTGTGTGTGTATGTGTGTGTGTATGGTGGTCACATTCATCGTGGAGGTTAACAAAACAGGTCAGATCAGGACAGTGACGATGCTGAGGGAGCCGAAGGACCGAGAGATCAGTGGTAACCCACCAAGTTTCAGGTTAGCGAGAAAATGGAAGGCAGTGGACGCAACAGGCAAGATCATAATCTCTTCGTTGGAGCAAGGTAAGATTGTCTGCTCAAGACGTGGGACTTGGCAGCGGCGACTTCAGACCTTCCGAGAAGATGTCTCAACAGGACAGAAGGTTAGCTGCAACAGGGCATGTGCGAAAATTTGAGACTGACAGGCGAGATGTTCATCTCATCCAGTGTGCCAAGCAAGGCAGAGTGACCAATAGGGTAGAGCATTAAGCCGAAAGAAAGATTGGCTAGAGTGAGATCTGGAAGTGGAACACATCGAGACTGAGCTAGATTCTTCTCCGATCCACCTATGACGTTCTGCCTTCACCAGTGAATACAGTCGGGCGAAAGGCCCAGGAGCCCAAGTGTTGATGCGGGAAGCTCGGAACTATGAAGCATATCCTCTCAAACTACCACCTGGCTCTGGACGGACGCACCTGACGACACGAGGTTCTTAAAGTTAAAATGTTCGCCAAGAGGGTGAAGGAGCAGGTAGAAGATGGAAAATACGCCACTAAGCCACATAAACATAGCGTCGCTGCCGCAAGCAATCCCCATAAATTCACATCGTGAGAACTTTCGATTTGTACAACCTCTCAAAGTTCCATCAAAGATGCACCTTTCAGTATCACCAAAATGCAGTTGAATACTATGGTCAAGGATTACAGTTTTCTTGCTGTTCCTGATTCTTGACAGGAACAACACAACAAAAACTTGTTTTAAGTCTCTGACGTCCAAACGGACTGAGGCAAGCTCAAGTTTGTACGAAAAGGAGACAATGTACCTGACAGGAAAAAGGCGAGCGAAGCCACGGAAGGCCTGAACGGTAGTCGACGGGAGACATCTGCAGATCTGGAAGGCTTCGACAGATTCTTTGCCATCCCGACAACAAAGAAGCCGTACCTGGTGATGTGCTGGTGCGGAGAAGAGAAAGAGGTGCGCCTGGCTGAGCTTACAGTGTCCCACAAAGATAACATCAGTGCTGCACATGAGCTTAAAGAAAACCGCTATGAGGCTCTAGTCGAAGGATGTGAGTGAGGAGACGGGATGGAGAGCAACGCATTTCCCAGACGAAATCGGCGGCAGAGGTTTTGTCGCGACTAGGGTCAGAAAATGGATGAGAGTGGTTGTACATGGTCTGAAGAAAGGGAATACCATGACATAGGCTCTACATGAGACTGTTGCTCTGGTTAAAGAAAGGTGACAACAGCAGGAGTGAGTACTAATGGTTGACAGCAAAGATAGTGAAACTGACAAGGACACCTCACATCGGTGAGAGGGTTCGGTGCGTCATTACAGCTGTAGAGAGGAAGAAGAGTCCGAAACAGCGACGCATTCTCTCTTGATGATCTCCACCTCCGAGTCCGGTCCAAGGAGCTTCAGAAATTCTGGTTGTCGGCAGCTCACGTAGAACTATCTAGTGTAGGCAAAGTAGTGTAGTCAAGGTAGTGTTGAGCGTGCAGTGCTGTGCGGTGGTACTAAGGTGTAATGCTAATTCAATTTTTGTATCTAACCATACCCATGCGTAGGTAGGACTGTCTCTTGTCTTGCCTTTTAAACGTAAGTAATCAAATGCGATACTTCGGTTCATATTTCTTCCTTTTTTGGGGGGAGGGGCTGTTTGTGAGTGAATGTGTGTGTGTGTGTGTGTGTGTGTGTGTGTGTGTGTGTGTGAGAGAGAGAGAGAGAGAGAGAGAGAGAGAGAGAGAGAGAGAGAGAGAGAGAGAGAGAGTGAGTGAGTGTGTGTTTGGTATTGTTTTTTACCCCCTTACTTCTGCTTTTGCCCTTCAACAGATCCAACCTGGCCTTCAATCGACAGACCCGGATGCTGGCGAATCTGAGCCTGTCTGACTGTTACAGAAAGAAATCGAACCTCAGCCTCGAACAGAGAGACGAGATAATGCTAGCGAGCGCCAAGTACAATCTAGCAAAGTTCTTTCGTTTTTTTGGATTGCAAGAAAATGAATTTGAAAGCGCTCGATTATTTGAAGCTACTTTCCCCGGCATAAAGTTTAAACAAGAGGCTTTTATGCAAAACGTAACCACGGCTCAGAGAGCTCTTGATAGTCTGACCGATTTCGAGAGAAAAAAGATTTTGAGACTGAACCACCTGGACGTACGGTTACTTCAGTTTGCAAGAGCTTTATTTCTAGAAAGATTAAAACGTGTTAAAATAGGGGTTGATCCGGACAAAGCACAAAAAAGAATGACGAAAGATCATGATAATATACAAGATTTGTCAGTAAAAGAGAAACTTGGCGCACAGATGTCTACGTTCAAATATATAATTGCCTAAAAGTCGCCACTGTACATAATTTTTATAAAGGCGTTTTGCTTCGTTTATCGAGTTGAGGTTCATATAGAAAAATCTTTACTCTTGCATTATGTGTAAAGATGTGCCAATCTTAAAAAAAAAAAAGCACACACTCGGTGCTTTAAAAGAACGAAACTAAGAAGGCTACACCACACCACCACTAAGCTTTGAGGGAAAGGGGGGGGGGGGAGATTGATTCCAAACTTTAAATAGAGTTGAGGTCCATATTGAAAACTAAGTCAGTTATAATCGTAACAAGTTAGTTAATAAGGTAATCACAATATGCGTGGACGCACTTTACTGCTACTGGTTAATTTTTCCTGCTTTTACTCGACCATGGAAGAGTGAATATTGCTTGTAATTGTCCTGTTCAACGGCTAAAGTTTGTGCTTACTGAAATATACCGAATTTCTTTATACACGTATGTTATTATTAGGTTATCCTCTCTCGCTCCAAAGCAAAGAAACAAACAAAAATATCCACATCTACCTTACCCTGCCCTCTTTTTCTTTTGCAAGATATATTTTGTCTAAAATTGTTCAGCTGATACACCTCTGTTTATCGCACTATGGCACTGTTGAGTATAGAGATGAATGCCGCAGGCTGCTCTGAAGTTCAAATATTAGTGGGTTCAGATTTTCAGTCGTGTGACAGGGAATTATTACATTTGGGCTTTCTCCTGGTTCACCTGGGTGGCGAATAATTAATCGTTCAGCTTTTGTAGTGATAACGAAATCCCTTTGTCGGAGTTAATGTGTGTTGAGCGTAGAAAGTAATACAAAAAAATAAGTCAGCGTATTCTATTATAATTTATAAGTAACGCTTAGTACCAAGGCGTGATGTAGTTTCATCCTACCGTAAAAACATGTGTGTTTCTTCTATTAAAATGTATTAGAGACTTAAAAAGGGCGGTTCAAAACGTTTATATATACGGCACTTACTGTACGTTGAGTTTTGTATATAAAACCTTGCAATCTTTTGTAGGAGTCCAATTTGTTCAGTTTAGCCATTTTAAATAAATTATAAAATTTGCTGAGAATGTAAGAAGTTGTAAACAATGGGCAACAAGCCTTAAGACAGGGAATCAGAGTGATTTTTCAGTGTAGCACACTTTATATTTCTTTACATCGGGTTGCCTACATCACTGTTTTAAAACATTCATAACCAACATATCTGACCTCTACTTTCCGTTCTCCTCCTTTTTTAAAGGTTCGATATATATATATATATATATATATCCTTTTTCTCTTGTTGTTGTTGTGTTGTTGTTGTTGTTACAGTTGCTATTGTTATTGTTATTGCTGTGGTTTTATTGCTATGGTGATTTGAGGGGCGTCTTTACCATACCTTTGTTATAATATCCTTTGGTCTTCCAGGCTTCTCGTGTTGATGGGATAAGTCAAAGGTGTACAACAATTCCACTTGATTTGCTGATCAAATTCGATGTTGTTTAGATTCTTATGACAATGTTTGCTCTTTGTGTGCATAGAGGACCGGCAATGCTCAATGTATTTATTGTTGTTTTGCAGTTAACAGATTAATTAGTACGAAGAATCAAAATAGGCTCTCTATAGGCTTGGGATTGCATTTGTAACATTATAAAATAATTTCTCCTTTAACAGATTTCTTGTGTCAGATGCTTATATGTACATGTATGCACACACACACACAAACACACACACACACACACACACACACACACACACACACACACACACACACACACACACACACACATATATATATATATATATATATATATATATATATATATATATATATATATATATAATTTTTTATATATATGATATTTACTATATAGCATATATAAATATATATTTGTGTGTGTATATATATATATATATATATAAAATGAGGTTTAGCTTTTGTGGGTAACATGTGGAGCGGGGCTCTCGAGGCATAGAGGTTAAGGTGTTGGCCTCTCATTCAAACCCGGTTCGAACCCGGGTAGCGACCGAAACATTTTCTTCTCTAAAAATAGTCTCCTTTCCTGCTTTCTAGAAATGTTCTGTCGTCTGCTTTCGTCTCCTCTTTCTGTCCCCACCCCCTCACCTCCTTTGCCCCCTCCTCTGGGCTCCTGGCTCTTTCTGCAGCCTTTCTTCTGCTACTCCTTGGCTCCTTCTTTCTGCTGTCTTTCGCCCGAAAGATCTACACCTAGCCTTCTCGAACAAGGGCAAAAAATATCGGAGGGCCTGTGTGCAAGTTGCGCACGTTAAAGATCCCTTGGTGGTCTAAAATCGATAAGAGTAGGCTTCGGCCGCCACCCGGGCAAGATTCAAAATTTCCTACTAACTGAAAACGTTTTATGTGTCCCACGCGTTCATATGACCGTATGCAGCTGCGAGCGCCGTAAAACACTTACCACAACAAACAAGGATGACATCTGCCTATCAAACACCACAGTACACGATTATTTTTTTTTAAATAAACATAAGACCTAGCAAAAGCTGCGGGAAAAGTTGGCCTTAGAAAAAATGTATCTAAAACAGAAGTACTTCGACTCTCATCAGAAACTATGCCTATCACTGTTCATGGAAAACCCCTTGCAGAAATTAGTAAATTCAAGTACCTTGGCAGTATTATATCCTTGATGACGTCCACTAAAGACTTAAAGATGCATTGATTGCTTTTGTGAAATTAAAAACTACATGTATATATGGAAGTCAAAGATCATTTCATTGAAGACAAAATTTAAAATATATAATAGCAATATTTTGGCTGTATTGAGGTATGGTTCAGAAAAACAAACAAAACAATTCAACGAAAATTTAAAAAGCTTCCAAACAAAATATTTGAGAGGACTTTTACCGATAAAATGGAATTAATTTATTACAAATAATGAAGTTTCGGAAAAGGCTGGAATTGAAGATATCAAAACAATCATAAAAAGAAGAAGGTGGGGGTATCTAGGACATGTTCTAAGAATGCTGAAGACAAGTTTGTCCTATCAGAGATGGTATTGGAAACCAACTGGAAAAAGAAAACGAGAAAGACCAACAGGAAGCTATAGAGGCGCAATAAGCTGTCCCCGTGGTTTTATGGACCCCCGCATAATTTAGCAACATTTGATCCTTTTTTGCATAATTTCTGATTATTTTCCTTTATCATTCTTTGTTAAAATTAACAGAATCGCATAATTTCACATTTTTGGGTTCAGTTTGCATAATTTCAGAATTTTTCTTGTATAAAACGACAGGGACAGAATAAGGGATTAGGCAATCACTCAGGGCCTGGATTTGACAGGCAAGCGTGGCGTCGACTGCTCTCTGCCTTGTGTACCTGACGGAGAGAACCAAACCAACAAACCAATATGTATATATATATATATATATTAATATGTTTATTTATTTATTTATTTATTTATTTATTTATTTATTTATTTATTTATTTATTTTATTTGGCAACTTGGAAACACATTTGTCACGTTTCCCATAAAACTACGGCAGCTACAGAGTTGAAAGTTGGTAAGTGCCTGCAAAAAGATAGATAGGTCCCCATGACGAAGCTCGATTTTTTACTTATTCATTTCCTGAATTTTAAAAAAAATGTGTTTGACAAAAACTTCCCGTCCTCTTTGGCCTTTGTGATTATTCCACTGAGAAACGAAACAAATCTGTGTAGCTGTCCTTTACAGCGGAAATGTCGGAAGTGATATTTCGCGAGGCGCATTTTGTTTTGAGAGTATGGATCTAGACCTTCTAATTTTTTTAGTAGTAAATATAGTAGGCCAATGACTTTCAGTTGATGTTAATAATGCACCGATCATTCCTGTCATCGAAAGGGGGCCCAGCTAGTATAAATTATATATATTTATATTCAGAGGCAAAAGAAACGCGACAAACTAAAGCACGAATAGAACACACTATACAAGACAGGGATTTGTCATGTGTGTATGAAATTCTAATTAGTCCAATTAACACATCCATGAGCGTGCCATAGGTGGTTGTTTTATTGTAGTTTTAGCCTGACTGTGTTATTTCTGTGAGCTTGACCTTCGGGCAGAAAGTAAGTACCGTGGGTGACCTTCGTTTGTTGTAGTAGCCGCTCTGCATCTTCGACCCACAGAGTTTAATTGCCGACCAGAAATCTGTACCCACACCTGGCCGATGGCTGAAGCCAATAGATGAGCTTTCCGTGGTCTTGGTTGCACAAGGTTGAGCTGCCGCTGAATAGCCTCCCAAACGTGTTCGAATGATGCTTAAGTCTGGTGAACGAGCCGGGTGAGACAAAAAGACTGAAGTTCATCTACTCCCGGAACTGCTGTGTTACGCGGGCGGTATGAGTTCTAGCGTTGTCTTGCTGGAAAAAGAAATGTAGATGTCTTTTTTTATAAGTCCACCAATCTCTGCTGCACAGTTCTGGTACTCAGGGCCTGCCCTGTTCGTCCTATGATGCTCCTGGCGGTTTCAATGACTGACAGTTGTCGCCCTTGGTCTTTGTAATCGGGGGAGATCGCTGTTCTTATTAGTGACGCGAAACTAGTTCAGTCCACTGTAGATGGTAGGGACATGCACACTTGTAACAGTTACCATATTATTATGTTAAGCTGACTCACCAGCCTGTAGCCGTTTCCTGATGAAAGTCTCAGCATGTTGTTACTGCTTTGGTTTCCAACTAAATTCCATATATCGAGGCTTCTAATTTAAAGGTGAGTCCTACGTGACTTCATGAACACAAACTCACTACTCGAATGATGTGACAACTGAGTACCCGCGAGCTGTGATAGTTGCTTAGTTGTTTGTTTCAAAATTGACCTATTAGGGCATGGCATCGTTCGAATGAGGTCAATCTCGCAGGTTCAGACCATACATCAATGGAACATATTGTAAACAGTACTCACAAATAGAAACTTTGACCAACGCTATAACGAAAATGAAAATTTCGCGTTTCTTTTGCCTTTGGAATTTGCCTCTGAAACTTGAAAATGTAATCACCCAGTCATCGTCTTAAAGCCTTAAACTACCCACTCATGCAGCACACGAAATTGAAGCTAAATATATTCTGCATAATCCGACACATTAATAATTCATCTTTGTTAAGAGACGCCCGACATAATATAATGTCCATACGGTCACTCAAAATTTATCTTAAAAGATCGGGCTTGGCAAAATTGTGAGGAATCAAAGAAAGTAAAATTGTCTTCGCACGTGTATTGAGAATCATGGAGAAGCATCAATGTTGATTTGTGCCTCTGTAATAAACAATATTTTCAAACGAAAAGATAGCAATCACGAATATTACGCAAAACCCAGACTTAACATTAAATGTACTCATTGTTATTTTGCTTGGGAGCCATAGGTATTGTGTAGTTACACGAACCCTTTGGGCATCGACTCTGTTAAATTATTAAATTTTGGAAATAACAACATGTATCTGTCATTTCATCCAAAATGTCACAGAGTTGCATACAGAGAGTCTGAATTGGGAATAATGTCGCTTTTCTTCCGCTGTTGTTTCATGGGACTTCCCATACCTGTGGGATTCATATTGGGACTATTTACTGATGATCGCTCCAACGTTGTTATGATTCCCTTTTCCAAGAATTGTCTAGTGGCATTGGCCCTGTGAGAAAGTGCTTTGCTATGCATGGAGATGTCTACTTGAATGACACCGTGACGAAAATAAGGTTAAGACATAACATTCTAGCCCACGTGCCATGTAGTCCACTAAACCAAAACCATCCGCTGATTCTCACGAGGGCAGTTTCGTTCATTCTACCCCTGACCACCCAAAAACCATGGCAGTTTAGTGGCCTCTGTTCGTCACTGACAGATGGTTATGTCCAAAATCTAACTAATACAGTCCATGTGCAAAAACGATTCCGTGATCTATAAGAAAACAATAGCTTCTAAACAAAAATAAAAATATACAAATAAGCACCCCTGGTTTTGCGTGGTATTGGTGGCTGCTGTGTTTTCATGTCTGTTTGAAAACATCATCAGAAGATGCTGTTCATTGCAGAAGCAATGATGATAATCTTTTTCCATTTGATATTCAATACATATATTTATTCCACGGAGGTTGAAGCACCTCAATATGCACACGAAAACACTTTTACCTCTATACATTCTTATACTAACCATCTAGACTTTTACATTTCTTTGATTTCGCAGTTTTGCCAAGCCTATAATATATATGTATATATATATATATATATATATATATATATATATATATATATATATATATATATATATATATATATATATATATATATATAGGTACATATATATATATGTGTGTGTGTGCGTATGTGTGTGCGCGCGCGCGCGCGCGCGCGTGTGTGTGTGTTGGGGGGGGGGGGGGGGGTGGGGGGTGGTTTGGTGTGACAACCTTTGGCCTATGTTTGGAATTAACCGAAAAGACTACTTAATCTTTTTTTTAAAAACAAACCAACCAAGAAACAACAAACATTCATAGTGATTGGACAGAGCTCTAACTATCGACAGTCAAGTCGAAAGACAGACTATCTCGTCTAACTGTATACCATACTGTGACCGATTACACCAAGACCATGGCATCGAAGCTGTTCTTCCCCAGTGCAGCCTGCGTACATTAATACACCATAATACATGTATTGTTTTCCCTCAAAACAACAGAAACGTTAACATCAAACAATTATTGTACTTCTTTATTATAATATAAAAATACAACATGTATAAAACCTGAGGAAGGGCGAGAGAGAAGGCGAGAGAGAAAGAGAGAGAGAGAGAGAGAGAGAGAGAGAGAGAGAGAGAGAGAGAGAGAGAGAGAGAGAGACAGACAGACAGACAGACAGACAGACAGACAGACAGACAGACAGACAGACAGACAGACAGACAGACAGACAGACAGACAGACATGAGAGAGACAGAGAGACAGAGAGACAGAGAGACAGAGAGAGGGAGAGAGAGAGAGAGACAAACAGATAGACAGAGAGAGACAGAGACAGAGACAGAGACAGAGACAGAGACAGAGACACAGAGAGAGAGAGACAGAGACAGAGACAGAGACACAGAGAGAGAGAGAGAGAGAGAGAGAGAGAGAGAGAGAGAGAGAGAGAGAGAGATTAGAAAGAGTGAGAGGGTGGGCAGGGGGAGGGAGGGAGTACATAAAAAAGTAAAGCATTTATAAAAATCATACATATATAAGCTATTAAACTGAAGTTGGTGGTATAACTGCATCACGTGGACAGTATTGCGAAGTCAGTTTAGGCGGCCTTTGAGATACGTCTGAATGCAATATCACCCGCAACGGTTAGTTATGGCCAGTAATCATAAATCAAGGGTGCCAACTGGCAACGATAAAAAAGACCTCTACTTTTCGGACCGCGTGCAAACCTGCGTGGGGGTACTCAAAATATTTAGATTAAATATTATCTAATACATCTTGTGGCAAGACTATTTCATATATATATAGTGCAATTTGACAAGGACAAGACAGGCAAAATCTGGACAATTCAAAAATTCGAATTTCCTGATTCATCTGGAAAATCGGTACCTCTGATCAACTTTTCAAAACATTTCCAACATGAACCGAAGTATTTTGCCAGAGACTCAAAGTCATAGCGGGTTACAAATGTAAGTTATAGGTGTTGTAAACCCTCTCCTCCGAGAGATAGACAAACCGTCTGGGCGGGCGAGAGTGAAGTTTTCTACAACCGCAACTTCTGCGATAAAAATCTCGGTTCACAGACGTCCTGTCCTGTTATAAACCCCGGTTACACGCAACGATAAATAGTATCAGATTCGTCGTATGAGAGAACTGTCCGTTTTATCGAACTGTGTTGTCTGTTTACACGTTCCAATCTATCGTCCAGTTTTTGTGCAATTTATCGTTACGTGTAAACGGGCCTTTCGGGTGATCGACACGGCATTAAAATTAAAAGCATCAATGTTTTGGATTTTTTTTTCTGTTTCTGTCTGTGTTTTCTTTGTCAATGTAAACATTTCGTCTTTTGTTGATTGGATCATTTGTATCAAAGACAAAAGGCAACTATTCCATTCTTAGGCTTCGCCTTGGGCGCGATCGCTGTTCTCGGGCTGCATTTGGTTTGATTACTTCGCAAATAAAGGTCGTACAATAATAGAAATGACATCAGTAGAAAGGGGAACAATTCATCTTTCTAAAATCACCAGCTTTCCAAGCGTGCCTTTGGGTAATGGCAGCGTAAACGTGGGTTTTGTGAAGTTCGGGACTTCCTGAAAAACGGAGTGATTGATGTGAAATAATGTTCAGTGACATTTAAATGTGCAAAAAGCTGAGCTAATTATCCTCAACATACACCTTTTCTAATGAAGCAATAATTTAAGGACGAGAAGCGATCTACCTAAATTACGTTCGTAAGTGAGCTTTTTTTAATTAAAATGATCCATACAATCAGAGTAAGCTTCTTTGAGAGGGTTGGGGATGATGGCGAGCATTTCTTAGGCGCGAGCCCCAGGGAAAATATAGGTAACAATTTTTTTTTTTTCGTCGAGATCATTGACAAAGGACCATAACTCTACTACAGAAAAGTGGCTGGAGATCTTTCAAGTGTGTGATTTCCCTTAATAGACACGCTGTCTCGATGCTGGGAAAAAAACTTAGCTGGACGTATCATAATATTCATTATTATCATTCCGATGAAGCGCGCAGCCAGTGCACGGTCTAGGGTATTATAATCCAAATATCTCAATAATTGAAGACCTGAGAACAAGACTGTGCCTAAGTAAGTCCAAAATGGCAAACATTGAGTTCTTGGTATCTATAAATAGAGAAGATTTCTTTCATCTATTGATAATGTAACTGACACTCAACTACGGAAGGTGGGGAGTGAAAGAGTGAAAAACGGCAGCGTATCACAAAGCACTGTCGTTGTTCTCCGTTCAGCAAAGGCCGTCACATCTTGTCGATCGGCAAAAACGTCGAACTTCCGCTCCCGTCACAAAACGCCGATCGGCGATGTTTGCCACCCAGTTTCTTCGGGTTTCTCCCAAAAATATGCTTGTGATAGCAAAGTGTTTTAAGCACGGTGCTGTAACGTCTCAGATCTCCAATTGTAAAGAGGACAGACTAATGCAACCATACTGAGGGCGTTTTACAGACGTATATCCCTATACCGCGCACTATGACCACCGCTGCTCTTCGTTCTCAATATCTTTATTTACACATTTTCCTGTTATTCACACATTTCCTCCTTATTTACACCTTCCCTCATCATATTTACTCCTCTCCTGATATTCTTTATTATTTACACTATATTACACCATTCTTCGATCGATTGTTTATATCTTTTCTTCTCTTTTTACATGAACCTTTCCCCTCTTTTCATTTTTTACTTCCTTCCTTATTCGTCCTTCCTCACACTCACGGCACACAGAGTGCATAGATTAACTGAACAAAAACCAATCAGTGATATAAACAAGCAGTCAAACAGCAAGAAATTTCAAAACAGATTTGCTATCTGTTAAAATCAGAAATAAATAAAGTATAAAACTGAAAAAGCATTAAAAAACTCACCTCAAAGAAAAATCAAACTACAGTTCAAAATAGGGGTAAGCCAGCATTTCCCCACAAACGTAAGCTTGTGAGCTTCAGCTCATTTTGGCCTGTCCAGGTTAACGATACAGAATATTCCTTTGTAGATTCCACGGCACCCTTTTCTTACTAGTGGCAACTTAGGCAAGAAAATGGATATGAAGCGATTGCTGGACACTTATACGTTGTGGACTTTCGCAAGCAGCGTCGTTCATAGAGGACTCAATTCTTGCTCGAATGTACTCATTACAACCGCCTACAGAGTTGAACTATTCTAAAACTATGAATCTGTACTGTCGACTATCCTCTTGTCACATATTTCTACTGGTAAAATAAGTAAAAGTAAATTTTTAAAAGTAATATGGTCCTCCATTTTTTGCACTTACTTGACCTACTACACACATCCAGGGTCTCAACTACCCGTTTTGGCCATTTGTGCATCACCATAACATCATTCCAGAAACACTGTTCAATTTTTTCTAAGACTTGCGCTCGCGCGTGTGGAAGGGGGGGGGGGTATTTTTCAGCGTTAAATGTCCCAAATAGAAACATAAAAGTGTTTATGTTATCGCTTGTTCATTTGATGCGCATCATTCCTGGAATGTCAAAAGTAATTTTAAGGTGCTATCTGCTTGATTTGAGCTTGGACTTTCATGGACTTTGAGTGACTCTACCACACAAAATATCTCTTATATTGCCCTGCATTTGGAACAGGAGGCATTAGAGAGTCCCGAGTTTTCCTTCATTTGATTTTTCATTAACAAGTAACATAATCATCATGAGATGGTGGCGTGTGTGACAACGCTTGGTTCTGGGTTGAGACGGTATCCTCGCGGTCTTCCGAGTGGAGCTGTGGCGTCTCCTCCGGCGATTCGTCGAGTGCCGCGCCGTCAAGTGCAGATCCCGCGATAGCACTTTCGTCTCGTGGTTCGAAGAATGAATCAACATATCCTTCATAAGGCACAGGCTGCTCGGGGGACATTTCTGTCTTTCCTGATCTCCTAGTGTCTGTTGGACACTGCTCTACAGGTTGTGCGACTGTTTCTTGGGTTGTCTCATTGTGGATGTTCGTTAACGATGAATGTTTAGAGTGACTACTCTGTCCATTTTGTGGCATGTACGAATAGCAAACATATTCATTCTCCGTCGCTGCACTCGTATCTGTGTTCAAACCAGCGCATGCGACGTAAGAAGCAAGGCTTCCCACGTTCCACCCAGAGCCATCCACATCTGAAGCAGAACGTTTTAAGTTAGATGATGAGCTTGAACCATGCGAATGAACATTTTTCTGATCAGGATTTTTGTGTATGGACAAATTTCCTTTCGATCTTGAAGAATAATTAGCCGACTTTAAGTCTGTATCATGCGAATTCAGCACTGGAGGAAAGTTTTTTTCAGTTTTACTTTCATTCTGCTGGACACTTTCTAGTGAGGTATTTTCAAATATGGCGGACTCCGGAGTCAGCTTGAATTTGCCTTGTATCATTGTTGAAAGCTCCTCATGAATTGGAAAGTCCTGGGAATTTCCGTTAACCACTTCCACCGGTTTTAAGAGAGCAATTTCGTTCGAAGCGCGTGGGAGTTTGTTGAGGGGGCAAAGACGGGGTTTAACGGACGAAGCACTCTGGTCAGATGGCTCACACGCAGGGTCCTCTTCATTAGGATGACCCTGCAGAAGAAAGTATGAAACAAAAAGATCTGGAGAATATAACACACAAAAAGGTAACGCTAACATTGTGTAAAGACACGGTGGAATAAGACGTCTCTCGGTTTGGGACATATTATGGAGTTATTGGTATAACTATAAGGTAGTCTTAAAGCCTGTTCATTTATCTTGCTTTTTGGTGAAAAAATACCCATCTATCTAATATATAGAAGTCGAGATATTTGTGATTAAAGGTTGTGGGGGCGTTTGATGCCTGAGGTAAAAGTCAGATAGAAAATGGCTGCCAAGGTTTGGGGACTTCCAAAGCCTGAGTATCCTTGGAATCTGCAAATTTACTTTTTCATGTGCCTTTGATCGATCTTTTTCAGTAAAATCCACACAAAAATGTGTTGTCAGATGGACATAAAAAGGTGTAGGCTATAAACGAATCGATAATTATGGCCCAAGGGGCGAAAAATGTTGGCTTCTTTGGTTCATTATTTTGACGAGCGCCTGATTTCACCATGATGCCTCACAAATACAACAAATATAACAACGCTTGCCAGGAAGAGCAGTGCTTGCAGGTTTATGTTTAATCTGACAAGTAATTTAGAAGCACTGAGCTGACTAGGTGTAGATGAAGACTATAGGAAGAAAAGGGCAGAGTCACAATATTCCATTGCTGTTCTTGTCTGCATTAACCAATTGTTTTCCGTTTTATCTACAAAGCAATATTCATAATTTTTAAAAAAAACGTAGTCAAATACCGGAGACACATTTTAAAAATACCCTGCTGACACAGAGTGGCAGTAGTCCATATGATCCCATGGAGAAAAAAGACAGGTGTTCTCAATTTTCTTTCTGTGACTGATGCCTTTCCCCGCAAGTCTTCAGTTCTTTTTAACGACATCGTTCGCACTTGAGAAAGGCAACAGCATGGGGAGGCAAAAACCTTGCTTTAGAACAGATACCATTAGTCAAATGTTCATGAGGATGTCGGGTAATGGTGCTGGCCATTTCAAGCTTTCTCTTAGCAGTAGTATTCATGAACAGTTCATAATTCAAGTTACAAAAAATTGCCGGATACATAAATGCTGGTTGCTATGAAAGTGATCTTGGCTCAAATGCTCTACCACAGCATTCTTGAACTTGTTCATTAGATTAATCCCTGCTTGCTTCATCAAATTTTACTTGAGAGTCAATAAAAGGGCAATTCGCGTTCTGCGTGTAAACAAAAAATGCGACCTGCGATGCATAGTCGTCTTCTAATTTGCTGTTCACCAGGACTCCATCAAACATATCTCAATCGAGATCTACAGCATCAAACGGTTTAGTTTTGGTCAAATTTTGACAAAACGCTAGTTTTGGTCTCTGCCAGAGGGTTAAACTGTTCACCCTAAATTGCACCCAAATGGAGGTACACTAGAGGCATTAAATGCAAATCTTTCTTAATTTAGTAAAATAAAAAAGTCAAAAAACGGATGTGCAGTCGGATTTCTTAAACTGGTGTGGCCCAGCTCGTTACGCTAAAGCAGAGAAAAATATATCGGATCTCCTGTGGGTGGAATAACTTCTACAGCAAGACCTTTGTAAGCAGTACTTATCTGACGGCAGAATTATAAATAATAACCACTTGAAACCACGCCCAAAGCTGTGCAGTTCTCCGGCAATGAAAAGACGGTATTTAATCATCAATCTTTCTGCAAAGCATTCGAATGCATGAGTGTCAATTTTGAACCGGGGGACCTCGCATTCCGACCGTTAGGGCTTCGCTTTCCATGGCGATTCTCCAGCTCCGAATACCCGGAAATACAAACAACTTACACTATAATAACGAAAAAAATCTGAACTTCTTAAAGTATTCAGCATTTGGAGTTTTCTAGCAAAAGATCAAAGAAATAGAGATCTCAATTGCCCCCTTTTCACCGAAACCACGCCCACAGAAGGCCGCGAGTCGGCTTACATGCCGTGTATACGCTACCTGATTATACATTTGCAAGAGCACCATAAACACACGAGAGCGCGCCGCACACACACACACACACACACACACACACACACACACACACACACACACACGCACACACACGCACACACACACATACATATATACAAACCCACACACACACATGGACACACATGCACATAGACCGCCTCGGTGGCCTCTTGGTAAGTAGTCTGAGAGATCTAGAGGAAAGTTAATTAATCTTTTAAAAGCTCTAAAACACAATAAAAACGATTTTTAAAGTCAATCCAAGTGCAAAACTGAAAGATCAACAGATGATAGCAGCTAGCAGGGCACGCCCACACAGTCAGCTGTTTACGTAAACAAGCTTGGAGTGCGCTAGAAGTTATAGTTTTTACTCCGTTTTACTAATCAGGGCTATTTGCATTTCTGACCATTCATGCTCGAAAAGGGATCAAAATCTAAAAATAGTTGCGAATGAAGAAGGTTGGAGCAAAGAGTTTCCACTAGTGGAGAATCTTTGGTTAAAAGCAAAGATGGCCATGAGGTAATGGTTCTAAAAATAATCTCACAGCTACACACAAGCAAGGTCCAAATTCCTTTATCTCGTCACCCAAGCTCACAACAAACCACACACGCCTCCAAAATAAATCAAAATAAAATATTTATAGTTGATTATAGTTGTTAGCTTTTATCTTATATGAAGCAGAAGACATCAGACTTTCAATATATCCAAAAAAACAAAATGTCATGGAAAGTCACTTTTTTGCCTCGTAGCTGATAATAGCACACTGGGTCTTACGACTGATATTGAGCGGCGTATTAAAGTGGAGAAGTTATGCTGTTGCTCCAAAGATTAAGAGCGATTCTCACAGAGAGCGAATAAGCTTGTTTGATGACGTTCCTGGTAGGTCATATTTTTTCTTTTCCTCTGTTGATTCTGTCAGTCTATTTTGCTTCTTCCTTGCTCTATTTGACTGTAATTGTGTCGATCAACTTCTCTTTCCTCCAATTCAGAGAACGACAGAAGTACATGTATAAATAAAGTGGGCATCTTTTTTGGTTGGGGCGTTTTACGTTTTAAAAAGGGTATGGGGTGGGGTTGGGGTATTTCAACAGATTCTGATCTTCATAGACTGTTATTGGCAATTTTAATTTAAGGTTGGTGTTATTACTGTTGACACAGTTTAGATCATTTAGGGGGCATACTCTAACAGAAAGATAAAACACATACCCTACAAATTATAATGAAACTCACAGCAGACATAAGGGGGCCGAATATATCGTCCACGTTTCCGAATTTCTCTCTGCGTATTTGAATACACCTGAAATGGAAGAATGATACACCAATAGACCTAGATATCACCAAAAAGATAATCAAATACATTTCAAGCTTTCTTTTAGCAGTAGTATTCATGAACCGTTCAAAATTCGAGTTACAAAAAAGTGACGGATACATAAATGCTGGTAGCTCTGAAAGTGATCTTGGCTCATATGTTCTATCACAGCATTCTTGAACTTGTTCTTTATATTTCAGAATGTCTCCTCCCACCACACCCCCACACACATATATCTTTTAATACCACCCTTTGAAATGTTGGCATCAGAAACTCGAGACTGGTAAAGAGCTGGAGTCTTTATTTTCTTCTCCTTACTGTGTTGGGAGGCTTAGTACAATCCCAGCTGTATTAACGACCCGCACATGCCTCTCTCCTTTGGAACAAAATATCAAAGAAGTCATTTGAAGTGAGCGGGGGAGGGGG